GCTGGAGTGCAATGGCGCGATCTCGGCTCACCGCAACCTCCGCCTCCTGGGTTCAGGCAATTCTCCTGCCTCAGCCTCCTGAGTAGCTGGGATTACAGGCACGCACCACTATGCCCAGCTAATTTTTTGTATTTTTAGTAGAGACGGGGTTTCACCATGTTGAGCAGGATGGTCTCGATCTCTTGACCTCGTGATCCACCCGCCTCGGCCTCCCAAAGTGCTGGGATTACAGGCTTGAGCCACCGTGCCCGGCTAGTCTTATAAATTATATTGTTCTTATGGGTTTTTGATATTGTTCATATTATTTAATTACATTGTTTTGAATACATTTAGTTATTTCATTGTAGGGAATGTTATATATCTTATTTCTGTATGTTTCTACATATTATTCATTTTTTGCGTGTACAGAATGTTCTTCAGAGAAAGAAAATACATTGGGAGCTTTATCATTTTATTTCTTTGCTTTCCAAGGGAATTACCTTCAGAATTACAGAGAATTTTTGATAAAGAAGAGGTGGACGTTAAAGTTGAAGATAAGAAAAATGAAGTATGTATGTCTACAAAGCCTGTGTTCCAGCCCTTTTCAGGACAGGGTCACAGACTAGGAAGGTAAGTATACCTATTGTCTTGTTTTCCCTAGATCAAGGTTTAACTAATTATCTATCATTATTTTACCCATGTAGACCACATGAATAGAGTTTATCATTTCTCTCATTGGAAATCAGATTTTTTTAATGTTAATTTTTATGAGGACTCTTAAATTATAGTTACCTAAGTGTATATTAACAATGCCAGCACTACACTAAAAAAATCATAGGGGCTATTTTTGTTTTATCCAAATCAAAAGGGCTTGGCTTATTAAGGACAGAATTTAATAGGTAAGTCCTTTTCTCTCCCTTGCACCCACTACTACAGAGTACATGTGCTAGCTTTTGAATATTATTGGTCTTTTTTTATGGTTACCACTGCCTGCAGCATTGTGTTGTATGATCTATGTATGAATTTTGAGGTAATAAAAATGAAAATTAGTGTCAGTATCAAAGCCTTTAATTATTTTCAAGTTTTACAGTTCCCATCCCATCTAACAGAAAATGCAGAGAGATTAGATATGGGAGCTCTTTCATTTTTATAAATTCTCGTATTTTTAATTATCAAGATTGGTAAGGTACATACATATTTATCCACACATACAAATATATCTGGATGCATCTTTCAGAATGATGAGGAAGTCCTTTATTTAGTTTCTTTTTTTATTATAACCCAAGGACTAAGCTCAATAAAAAACTTATAATTTCTTTGAGAAATTCAACCTGGGCAGTAGATAAAGTCCATAGATCTATGAACTTTCTTTAAAATTATCCATTCTGTAAAGCACTACTCAAATAATGCCAGTAACAATATATGTAGCTTACAAATTACTTGTATATATATAATTTTATCAGATTCTTAGAACCATCATATAATGCAGACATAATTTATCTTTCTGTTATTATTGAAGAAACAGATATAACTTACAAAAATCTTCCCAAAAGCTATACTTACTGTAAAATTTTTATAGTAATTATTTAATGATAAAGTTTTATTGAATGGAAAAACATGTCTAACTTTGTTGTCTGGATTTCCTTAGTGCCACACCAAAAATTGTTTCTAAAGCAAAGAGTATTGAAGTTGAAAATAAAAATAATTTGTCTACTGTTCTGCTAAACAACTTAGAACCTGTTACTAATATACAGATCTGGTTAGCCAATGGGAAAAGGATTGTCCAGAAATTTAACATCTCTCATAGGTGAGTCTTCAGTTTCAGTATTTGATTTTTTTTCACCAAGTTTAAATTTCATTTCTTCTTTTCAGTTCAGTCAACAGTTTGTTTATTTATTTATTTATTCTGAGATGGAGTCTTGCTCTCTCACCCAGGCTGGAGTACAGTGGCACGATCTCGTCTCACCACAACCTCCGCCCCTCAGGTTCAAGCAGGATTCTCCTGCCTCAGCCTCCTGAGTAGCTGCGATTACAGGCATGTGCCACCATGCCTGTAATTTTTATATTTTTAGTAGAGATGGGGTTTTACCATGTTAGCCAGGCTGGTCTCGAACAGGCTGATCCGCCCACCTCAGCCTCCCAAAGTGCTGGGATTACAGGCATGAGCCACCGCTCCCGACCTTCTTAAAAGGTTTTTTTAGCTGGTGTCATGGCTTATGCTTGTGGTCAATTGGGAAGCTGGGGTGGGCAGATTGCTTAAGCCCAGGAGTTCATGACCACCTTGGGCAGTATGGTAAAACCCCGTCTTTACAAAAAATGCAAAAATTAACTGGGCGTGATGGCACACACCTGTAGCTCCAGCTACTCAGGAGGCTGAGGTGAAAGAATCACTTGAGCCCAGGAGGTTGAGGCTGCAATGAGCCGTGATCCCACCACTGTACTCCAGCCTGAGTGACAGAGCAAGAACCTATCTCAAAAGGGAGAAAAAAGTTTATTTCATTTGTTTTAATTAAAAGTAGAATCAGCCGGGCTCGGTGACATGTGCCTGTAGTCCCAGCTACTCAGGAGGCTGAGGTGGGAGGATCACTTGAGCCCAGGAGTTCTGGGCTGTAGTATGATATGACGATTGGGTGTCCACACCAAGTTTGGCATTATTATGGTGACTTCCTGGGAGTGGGGGACCACCAGGTTGCCTAAGGAGGGGTGAACCAGCCCAGGTTGGAAATGGAGCAGGTCAAAACTCCTGTGCCACTGCACTCCAGCCTGGGCAACATAGAGAGACTCAGTCTCTTAAAAAAGGTAGAAACACCATATATAGCATATGTAGTTTTTATTTTTATTTTTTAAAATCATTTATTTATTTATTTATTTTCAGTAAAAGTGGCACAGATAAATAACAAAATATATGACCGGGCATGGTGGCTCATGCCTGTAATCCCAGCAGTTTGGGAGGCTGAGGTGGGTGGATCATGAGGTCAGGAGTTCGAAACCAGCCTGGCCAAGATGGTAAATCCCCATCTCTTCTAAAAAATACAAAAATTAGCTGGGCGCAGTGGCGGGCGCCTGTAATCC